GTTTTTGACGCTCATGCTGAATTTCTTGACTGCAAGAACGTCAACAAAAATCGTATTTGCACTTATGAAGGTCAGTGAAGGTCACGGTCCTTAAATGACCCTCAGCAACACTTTGTTGTTAAGGGACAAATCAGCCAACATGAGACTCGACAATGGTTGAAATTTAAAAAAATCAAAATAATTCAGATTTTCTGTCACTGTCACCTTCTGAAAGTCAAGAGTCACTGGACTACATCAAACACCAGCAACCTCTCGCTTAGGACAGGTATATAGGTTAAAGGCGGTTGCATGAGAAGATATGGGGCACTTCGGACACCAGCTGGGAATTTGACTTTTTTAGCCTATTACCCAAGGGTTAAGGCGTCGGGACCTTGAAGATTCAACACAGATGATTTAATATAATTTTTACTTATCTTGAGTTTTTAGTGTCTCTAGCCCTCTTTGTGTTTTTAGGTATAAAGAGGTCAAATTGTCCTACCCCAGTCCCCAACCCCCCGACACGCAGTGTTCAACCGGTCATCTGGGGATGCGCTGAAAAGAACACTGCCTTGTGTAATTTCAATATATCTGGAAAGTAACGGAACATTGCATAAGGCGATAAGCAGCATGATGCCTCCAGGTAGTACATTTTTTACTCTGCTGCATTTGGTATTCGGCGTCCATTGCCATATCTCACCACTCGGTATCTGTATGCCCTGCGCGCCTTTGGAAAGCACATACACTGCAAGCAACGGCTCCAGGTCAGTAACTACGAAGATCCACCGGCTGGCGCTGTCCCCCGCCCGCGGTAACGCTTCAGCCGCCGGTCCCGGCCGGTCCGTCACGTGACCCCAGCCGCTGGCCCCACAGTGGCACGAGAGCTGATGCGCTGGCACGTGCTCCATGTCAGCGCACACTGCGAGCGTTAGGGAATGTAGACCGGCGCAAAGCTTTGTGAGCTCCAGGGTCAGGGCCGCTTGAAAGGTTAGATATCATAAGTCTTCAACGTTTGAATGCCCCGATTACAATGTTGTTAATAACGTTGCCTATCTGTATGGCCAGGCCATCCTTCATCATTGGTCGACAAATGTTTGTGAGCGTCGAAAACAACCGGGTCAGCTCTATCGTTGGTACAAGCGGCTCTATCGTCTGCCCTGGATGCTTCTTGAATAGCATGTTACCAGATACAGGGCGTGGATTAGGGCTCCAGTTCGTGCTAAGGTACCTCGGTTCACACCGTTGCCTTCAGAGGCCTCGGGTACGTCATGGTCTCCGGTGTAGGAAAAATTGTGTAATTGGCAGACGTGAGCTCAGTTATAGCCTGCACATCCATGACAAATAAGCGAATTAACCTGCGTGACATTGCGTACCTCTGTGATCCGAAACCATTGTTTAGTCTAACATTTGTTGCAATGGTTGCGCTTCAGTCCATTAGACCGCGCGCATACCGTATCCTAACAGTCGTCTAATGCTTTCACACCGAGTTTCACCATGCGACCAGTGAAACACGCAAAGTGTACCGGTTCGAACACGAGTATCAAGACCGGACGGGTTTGAATCGCGGCCGAAAGCGCCGCTAGCGTCCGTTCCCAGCCTTTGGAGGTGGCCCGTGAGTGCTGCAGGAAGTCTGTCATTAGGTTCTCCTGACGGAACCGCACCCTCTTCGCCGAGATAGTAATGACTCACGGGAGGAAAACATATAATTCAGGGCTTCCCCCTCCCAGGGCAGGTGCACATTGGCTCCACCAACCGGCGGCCGTGCCGGGCAGACATGCGCCGAAAAAGACGCCGGGATCACATCCCTAAGACTTGGATCAGAAATCTTGTTTGATCCTGGATTTGAAAAGTCGAAAGATATTTTGGGATCCTGAACTCCTTCCAGATTTCGTTGAACGATCCTCTGGAATTCGGCATCGTTTTTGAAATTTTGTTGAAGTATACTCTGAAATCCTGGATTGAAAAAGTGTCGTAGGATTTTATCGGGTCTTGGACCTGTCCTACTACAACAATTGTCCTACTGCAGTTGAAATGGTGAATGCCACGCATTTCTGTTATTTGCTTTTGCCGTCTTCAGTCTGTTTCATCAGGGTTAGCGAACTAAATTCTTCATTTCTTCTAAGACTAGCAGGTTTTTTTGCAATTTTTCTGCTATCAAACCTGAATCCTGCAGCATCTCTAAGAGACTCTTTGCCATTATACTGCCGAGAAAAAACACATTGTGCATGTGCATCAACTTTTTACAAGCTGTCTTCGAACACATTTCTTCATTTGCTTTGGCTCTGGAGTTTGGTATGACCACTGAGTCACCTATCACACCGCACTGCCTGCCCGTAATAAGTATAAATCAGCTTAAAGTTGTACCAGGATAGGTAATTTGTTGATTCTAAAACTTGCAATGGCGTACAGATATGAAAGAGTATAGGATCTTGCGATATTTCGGGTTGTGTGCCCTATTGAATTTCACCGAAAATAGTCTTAATTCTCGGATTCTTTTTTAAAAAATTTGGTGCAGTATCTTTTCGAATCTGGATCTCTTTTGAAATCGAAGAATCCTCTTAGATCTGGGACCTTTAAAAACTGTTGCTGAAGGATCTTGCAACATCTGAGCTCATTTTCAAAACGTGAGATCTTTTGGGTCGTGAACCTTTTTTGGGGATTCGGGCACATGCCTAGCACCGGGCCCAGGAGAGACTCCGCGGCCTCGAGAAAACCGCCCCAGCCAGGGTCGGACGAGAGACAAACTCGTCACACGGCTTACGCCGCAGCAGCACACGGGAAGCGGTTGCGTCAGAACACGGGAGAGAGGTCTGGTTCCCAGAGGCCGGCCGCAATCCTGCAGTGAACGCGGTCGCTGGGTGGACATCCCTGACGTCAGAGTGGGGTCTCCTGACGTGCGAGGACGCCCCGTGCACGTGGTAACCAGTCATGGCCTCAGCGGGGCGGCTGGCGACTGACGTCACCACCGCGTGGCGCCGGCCACTCGCCATCGTCCGAGCGAACTTGAACTCATGGCGCGCGCTCGGGGCGCCACGGCTTTGGATACGCCGCGCCCGCTGAGCAGCCAGACACGCACCGCCAGACAGGCTGGTAAAGGACGGAGGCACCAGAATCATCAGCAGCTGCTGACGAGCGCGGGAGCTGATGACGATTTAGCCTGATGACTGTCAGCGCGTCCGCGTGTTGAAGCCAGCGCCGGGGATAACGAGTCGCGTTATAGGGCTGTTCGTCACGCCCCGTGTGGTAGTTTTCAATAGCTGGTCGGCGTACAGGTCGCGATACCCAACGCTGGCAGTGTCACCCGATACCTGTCCTGTTTCGAGTAACGCTGTCCAGGAGCCCTTTCCATACAACATCAACTGGCAGCCGTGTTTGGCAGAGCTGGACCAGCTCTCTCGAGCTCTGGCTGCAAGTTTTTTTTAAGCCTTGCCGATTACTCGCCAAGTGACAGTCGATTCTTGCTGTAGCTGGTGCTGTCACACAGATGACCGAATCCCCAATACCTATCCTATACCCCGCCCACGAAACAAAACAGGCACATGTCGCTCCACCGTGTATCACTGTGCATCAGAGCAACCTGCGTGCAAGTGAATCTGACCGCATGTGCCTCTATCAGCAGTGCACGTGAACTGCTTCACACGTTTCACTTCTGTCAAAAGGCGACGGAAGGCGATGCTCACAGAGTCCAAAGGTGTTGGCACGAATAACGAGATGGTCCCAGCTTTCTCGACGCGGTGCTCTTTGACTCATGCGTTGTTTCACCCTGCATCGAACGGCAGGATGAGCCTTGAAAACGAACCGCCTGGTCTGGTTTCGGGACGTTTGGGCACACGCATTACTGTTTGGTTGTGGCTATGCTTTTGGTGGAGCGTCACCGTTGTTAACTGAAATGCATCTGGGTGGTAGAGTCCTCTTGTTGATCTGTCGTGCTGCCCTCGTCTGATAACATTGTTTTCCCGTTGCAATACCGTAGATAGTTTGTGGGTTGCTGTCTTGCTGATGTTACCAGACAGGCCGTCTGGTATCCTTTTTTCGTTAACCCAAATCCAAGCCTCCATTAGGTTCTTCTGTGTTGTTCCGTCTCCGGATACCACGAACGCCCATCTGTCTAGGTCGCGCGAACACGGGCCTCCATCGCACACATATCTTAACTAAACACATCGCGTCTTAATTGGACATTGACAAACGACATAACCTGCTTTTCTGTCTTGGAAAGGTCGCAAGTACCGGGTTCGGTCGCTGACACATATCAACATGACACCTGGTGTAGTTGGAGCTGTACCTACAACAGTACGGATGGGAGCATGCGATGGCAAGGGCGGGACTTTTACGACGAATATGGGCGAAAGGGTACCCATTGCGACACGGATGTAGCGGCCTGGAGGATCTCTCCCAGCCGGCTGCCGGACGCAGGCTGCCTGCCAACGGTGTGCGCCGCGGGTCCAACTCTGGGGAGCGTCGGCCCGCCGTAGAAGTCACTAACCGTGTGCAGGGCATCACCATCACAATCCTCGTTCGCTGGCCGGGCATTCCCCGCGTACATTACGCGTTAACTGATGGAGCGGAAAGGCCCGCTGCACGTCAGCTTGCTGGCGAAGCCTACATCGAAGCCCACTCGGATGATGTAATGCCGCGAGGTCTCGACCGGACTGATCCGATCTGCGTCGTTTATTGGGAAAGCTGCGTTGTATTGCCGCTGGGGTCTGGAAGCTGAAGCCAGGCCGGCGGCGGGGATTCTGCGTCGCAGCAGTCCTGGATTGAGGCCCATCGAGCCCGGTCCGTGCACGGCGCCGGCCAGACAGCCCAAATCCCAGTCGATATGGCCTCTCCCGTCGAGGCTCATGAAACCCATCCGGAGCCATCACTGATACCGGACGGGGCGGCCACCGCCCCGAGCGTAGGACGTAGGGCTGGTGGGGACATGATCGTCATTGCTTTCCACATCCTTGCAGAGGCATGCGATCGCAAAGACCGCGTTGAGTGCTTGCGTCTAATGCAGATGCTTTCTTTTGTCAACCAACAACAAGAGCAGCACTTCCATTTTATTACTTAGGGTACTTAACCAACGTACCCTGGATGCTTGATGGAAGACACAAGGTTGATATTTTAACTGAAAACTGTACATCCGCTTAAAACGCAATAGCCGCCTAGCCTACGGCGGCACATCCATGCCCATCGCCACATGGCTGATCGGGTCCAGCCCAACAAAGCCATCTTATTCTCTGGATGTCTTAGGCGACAACACGTTCGACTTAGTTTGACTAAATTACGCACAAACATTGAAGACTGGTGACCCGTCAAGGAAAGGCGGCCTGCCTAACGGTGACCCGTGCAGGAAAGGCGGTCTGCCTGACCTCGGCAAGCGATCACGAGCGAGGGCATTCCTCGCTGCGCAGTGCCGCAGGTCGACACTCCCTCCACCATCTCCCATCGGATCAGCCGCGGGCGGCGGTTCCGTCGTCGCGGACCTCACTCCCCGTCACAAACGACACGCACGCTCCGCTACGGACCGCGCACACGCCGTCGCAGACCTCACACACTCTGTCGCAGACCTCACACACTCCGTCACAGACCTCACACGCTCCGTCACAGACCGCGCACACTCCGTCCAGGGCCTCACACTGTCACACTCGGCCCGTAACAACACGTCCGGCGACAGGCCGGTTCGCGTGCGCCCGTTGAGATCATGAGAGGCCGACGGCCGGCGGCGGTGACCGCCTACAGACACCACTTGGGCGTGCGCAGGTAGTCGTACTGGTACTCGATGCGCATTTTGCCGGTGAAGACCACACAGCCCTGGCCGAGCAGCGCCGACCCCAGCCGCTTCTGGATGATCATGTCGGCGCGCTGGCCGCGGTAGCGCTTCTCGGCGGTGAACTGCAGCTCCTTACTGTCCAGGGCGCACGACTCGCCGCTGTAGCCGGCCACGAAGCGCACGCGGTGCTCCGAGCCCTCCTCGTGGTCGCGGATGTTCACGTCGTAGGTGACGGGCGCGCCGGGCGCCACGGCGGCCAGCGCGCGCATGGCCGCCTCGAACGCTATCGGCGTGATGAGCGAGGCGGGGCTGCTGGTGGCCGAGCTGACGCGGCCGCTGCCGGAGCCGCCGGTGACCGCCGCCGGGCTCTCGGGCCGGCCCGAGTCATCGCTGGCCGCCTCCTCGTTCACCGGCTCCAGCAGGATGGCGTGCTCCTCGTCGCTGTCGGCCGGCGGCGCGCCGGCCGCCGACGCCGGCACCGGCACCGGATCGTCGGGCACCAGCCGGCCGTGCAGGTCGAAGTCGCGCTCATCGTTCGCCTCGAGCTGACCCTCGAACCAGGAGCCGTCGGCCGAAAAGCAGAGCAGGCCGGCACCCTGCGCCTCCACAGTCACTATGCTGTCTGTGCGCTTGCGGCCGCGCCGCAGCCGGTTGGCCGCCATCATCGACATCGCCGCTGGCGCAGGAGGCCACTCCAGTCTCGGCACGCCGCGCTGCTCGCCGCCGCTCCCGTCGGCACGCTGGGCGTCACTGCTCCGGCCGTCGCCGCGTCGCTGCGTCACCGCCGGCGTTGGCGCCGCGCTCGTGCCTCCCAGTGCGCGTCGGTCCGGCACGTGCCACCTCCAACGCTCTCTCTCGCTCTCTGCCGTTCGCAGGCGTCCGCGCTCGGTGGTTTTCCGCTTGCGCCGTCGCTGATTGGCCAGCCGCTCCGAAGCCGCCGTGACGTCAGCACTCCGGCCGAGGGCTGCTAGTGCTGACGGCGGCAGGCCAGCTGGCGACAAACAGAGCCGGTCGGTCACAAAGGAAATACGGTGGTTATTACGCCGTGGGCTCCCCCAGCCTCGCCACGGTGCCAATCACCCATAGCGAAGGCCCTCGACGCAGGTTTCAAAACAACATCCCGTCCCCCCTCTTCCCCCTCCTGATCCGTGACGGGCTTTGTTGCCGGCCTGTCCAGAGGTCAGCGAACGCGGTAGGGGAGTGGTTCCCGGATGGATTGAGGACGACGGAGCGGTGGGGTCGCCCCGCTGCCCGGCAATCCATCGTAAGCGGACAAAGGCACAGAGCGGGGGGTCAGCTGCCGAATCAAGTGACGCAGCACGGGCGCAACAAAGCACGGTGCCTGTAACCCGGCGCATGCACAAATGGCTCCTCTCGGGTGTCTCACACGCGCCGAATGACCACATCAGGTCCTACGACCCACTCATACTTCGACGTCTTTAGCTCGCTTTCGGTCTTTCTCACCAGAGCGCAGTGGTCTGTGACAGGCCTCGTCAGCTAGGTAAACGCTGGAAGCAGTATGTGCGATTACCTCTCTGGAAGCAGTATGTGCGATTACCTCTCTGGAAGCAGTATGTGCGATTACCTCTCGCAGACCTAGGTGACAAGTGATGGAGGCCCTTGACGCTTTTCGGAAACAGTTCCCAGGCCACTCGAAGCATCCCAACAACATGACTTAATTTTTCGCCAGTAACCCGACAATTTCGACTTTATACCACGTCGGGTCATACTGGTCTACTTATGATCTAACCTTAAAGATCACCTCCCCCTCCCCCCCTCCCCCCAGGTTCATAACTTCAACTTTTTTGTTAATAAGCCTCACAATGCCCCAATACCATCGCCGAATGCTCATGACGCAAATGGAAGGCCATCCAAGGTCCAGGCCTTTTTTGTCAGCGAATGACCCCACATGACCTCGCGGTACATCCCTGCAAGTAAACGGTAGCGGGCTTGGTTTGGAGCTGCCTTACTCTACCGGCGTACTCAAAGCCACATGTGGACGGCAATCACGAGGTTTCCCCTCCCCCGAGGCGACCGAGCAGTCCGGCCTCAACAGGTACGGCAAGGTGACCAAGGCCGTAGCTGTAGATCGCGTACCGAGCTTGGGTAACCTGTCTGAGCTCCCGCTCCAATACGTCGGGTGTATAATCGACGAGTTATGTCCTGGATGGATGTAACGTCCAAGTCGTCGAAGGCTGGGAAATGTGGAGTGTCCAGCAAGGGTTCATGAGTGGCGAATTAGGAGAGCACACGGGGCGCATACCTGAGTCGCTCAATTCGGAAGAAAACGGCACTGACCCCATGGCGCGCATTGTAAGAAATATTTTGAACATGGACTTGCACCGTCTGCGCTCCCCATTCCCCTCCCCCTCCCCCGACCCCGCAGCTCTGAATATGGTTACGTCGCTAGTGAAAGCTAATGCGTATTGTGACATGCAAAGCGAAGGGTGCAGTTTTCAATTACGCATAGCGCGGGAGGGGACTCGGCCTCCGTCCCTCAGCCAATGTATGATGATGATAAGACGGAAATGCGCGCCCGTATGCTATACTCACTAGCAACGGGTGGAAAAATCATCAAAGTGTGTGGACCTTTTTGAAGCCATTATCTCAAGTGCATCACCACCTGGTTCACCAGGTGGTGATGGGGGGGGGGGGGCAAACAAAGTAAGCTTACAAACCGGTTTGATCCGGCCATGGTCGGCGCGCCCTGACCATGTGAATTAAGGATGTCAGTCACGATGCTAAGGTCGTCTGACAATGAGTCATACCGTGGTGCACATGTGCGACAGCTTGCGTTGGCCTCAATGATTGGACACTTGGCCGTCATCAAGTTCGAAGATCAAATCCCGGCTGAATCACGCTGACGACAATCTCTCGGTCCGTAAAAAGTGTGACCGACACGAGCTATGGAACGCCGATCAGGCCCGTGAGCTATTCAGGCCGCTGGACGGATGGCTCAGTGGGCGGCTCCAGGCCTGTCACGCCACCGCTACCGGCGCCGGCCCAGCCCCGGGGCCTCCGCCGGGGCCTCCGCTGCCGTCAGCAGCGGCCGGTGCTCCGGGCGGACACGGCCGGCCTGTTTACCCGGCCGCAGGCCTCGTGCCCGCCACCGGCGGCGTGTCCGTCGCGCAGTCGTCGCGCCCCGGACGCCAGCAGTGGCAACAGCCTCAAACTGGGTCAAGGCGCGGGCCCCTGCACGGCCGCCACGGGCCGGCCGGCGTCACGGCTGTCACCGGCACCAGCCGATCTGCTACAGATCGACAGCGTGGGCAAGGGGTCTGGTGAGACGCCCCGACTCAGCCTTTGGACGGTGAATGCAGTGCACTTTTCGAGATTGCGCTGGCTTCGCATACGGTGGCAGAAGTACACGCGGCGAGAACGCAACAACTGGACAAGTGACATATGTCGCACTTCGTGAGCTTAATCAAAAGATCAAGTAAATTCACAGACCATTTGACGCCAAAGTTGGGTTTAAGCCAGCCTTAAGTGTTGCATTCAATGACGGCACGAGCACAAATTAACATCAGTACGATCTCAGTAAGGTACGTCCGGTGTAAGGTATCGGCGCGTACAAGGCACAAAATGTGCTGCAAGAGTATCTCTCACTTCAAGCGCGTGGGACAGGCTGCTGTCGGCCGCTCTGGAATCCACTGGCCCGACCAACGAATCATCCTGGATTTGCATTGGTAAGCGGCACCTTGATCTCAATGTATTCTCAACGGTTTTCTCTATCTCCAATCGTTTGCTCTTTACCATGGAATATTTGTGCATGTCTTAAGCTTTTACCATGCGCCTTATCAAAGGCTGGCAGCTGTCACCACCATACATCAGCACTCCGGCGCCGCTTAATATCACTGCGCTGTGGCTCCTGGTGAACAGAAACAAAACCCACCCAAGTCGGAATATTTTTGCTGTGCTGCATTAGAAGGTGTCGAAAAGACGTTTCAGGATCACAAACTCCGCGTCGTTATACGAAGACTGAACTCGGGCATGTCTTGTGAAAAAGGCACGTCCGTTCGACTGACAGGCCAGGGCTGTGCTGAACTCCAGGTGAAATCGAAACTAAGTCCGGAATCAACAACGTAGATGTGACTTAATGCGTGATGCCATCCTTTGCCAGTCTGGCAGCTCACTTTGCTGACGCCGATAGAACGGTTCACGTCAGCAAGTGCTGACACCGGAATCGAATGCACCGGAATCTATTTCGGGATTGACCATTTATCCTTCATTCGGAATCAAGAGTCCGCTCAGGGTTGCGCTGCGCTGCTCGGAGTCGGTGTGAAGCCCACGTGCTGCGAGTCGGAATCGGAATCGGTTCAACCGCGCTGGGGTCAAGCACAAGTCAGCGGGGCGGTTGCGCGCGGTGCCGGCGCCGGACCGGACGGCGGACCGGCCGGCGGTGGGCGGGGTGGCGGCCGGTATTTCGGGCGCGGTATCGGTCAGCGGCGGCGGCCGTGCCAGCCGGCCCGGCCGAGCCCGTCCGGCCGGTCGGAGGGGGTGTGGCCGGCCTCTCGAGGTCAGCGGAGACGCCGGGCCGTGCTACCTGGCACACGTCCCAGGTGCGCGGAGCTGGCCGCACCGACCGCGCCAGCCGAACGCTGCCCGGAAGGTCAGGGGGGCCAGGGGTCACTCAACTACGCTCCGATTACAGCACTCATCGGCCAGACGGCGTGCCAATTAGTGTGAATGGCAGGTCACGGGTGTTCCGGGCACGGCGACACGCGTGCTTGAATGCTCTACCCACGGCGATCATGTTTCCACGGTGGAATCGAAGGAGCTGCGGTCACGTAAACGGGCGGCAGCGGTGGCCGGCGACAGGCCGGGGCGCGCCCAGGTCAGCCCGCCACGTGACGCCCTGCCGCGTCCACACCTCCACTCTGTGTGGGATTGTACCACAAGCCCCCCTCCGTGCCGGAGGCACATTTCATAGTGAGTGGCGGAGCCGCAATAACAACTTTTTACTGTCCCGTCCTTCGAATGTGCTCTTGACTTTGAGGAGCAGCCCTGAAAGGAGACAACATGCCTTGATACTGCTTCTTTGATCCGTGCAGCTCGAAGGCTTTTTCCTGCAGCTGCATACAAAACCCTTTGAGTTGGCGTAAGCAGTGGGACTGAAAGCACAGCTGTAAACGTGTGCTAAGGAAAACAGAGCACCAGGCGCGCAAAACCAAGTCAGATCTCACACCGCACTGGTGTGTTTGGTAAACCACAAATTCTGACACAATCTGGACAGCCCTAACAAGCCCATAAGGCCAAAGCAAGCCCCAAAAACATGTTTATATGATGCACTGACACGGCCCACGCCGTTCAGTTCATTAGTGATGACATGGCCGAGACCGTACACGTTGGATATCTACTAATGAACTCAATCAACGGTGGCAAAACAGGCGGGAAAGTGTAATCGCATCATAATATTGGTCCTGATACAGATCCGATTCCTTTCAGAACTTGTGTTTGATTCTACTCCTGTTGCGGATAAGAATTCCCCCTCCAAAAAAAGAGATAATTAACCAAATGGATTGCTGGCACTTATAAATAGCTTCCCAATGCTCGTTTGCTTTCCCACGATGCCAAGAACCTTCGCAGAGAAAGCCGCCAGTCACGGATAGACACACACGGACGCGCACAGGTACATACATAAAGGCGGCAAACAGACACAAAACGAGGATTCTCGAAGCAGAACATCGCAGTAAGATACACACTGCGAGTTAAATGGACACTGCAGACAGAGCCAGCCGGTTAGCTCGCGGCCGAAAGGTCACGCACGAGACTGGATCAATACAAGCTCATGATAGAGATACGCAGTTTGACCCCTGTGCCGACTGCAACGGGCGGTCCGGGTGCCTTGGAGGGCCTCTCCTGTCCGGAAATGCATGCATTCGCAGACCGAAGATGTCCCAAGGGCCAGGCGGAGAAGGCCCCTACGGCATTCGCTTCGACCGCTACCGAGACGCAAATACGGTCCGGTGGATAGCCCATGTGACTGCTGTT